TGTAAGTATCTAACCCACCTATGAAGTAGTTTTGCCAAAAAAAAAACAAACAAACAAAAAACAGTAAATCTGAGTCTGGTCAAGCTTCTAGACCAGTTTATAGGAAATACAAGAAACAAAGGAAGATGATAACACCACAACACAAGTGTAGAAAAATCTGGACTGTGGGAAACTCTTCAAGGCCAAAATTCTGGTTTCAGCAAATACATTGCAAGTAAAAAAACAAAAAAGAAGGAGGAACATATAGATTAAAACAAACCAAATATATTACATAGCAACAAATTGCAATGTCCAGACCTTACTTGAATCTTGATATGAACAAACTGCCAAAGAAAAAAGAAAAAAATCTGACACAGGGAAATTTGAACACTGACTAAATATTTGATAATATTAAGAAGTTATTTTTTAATTTTTAGGGGTGACTATGTTTTGAAAGTCTTTATCTTCTGGAGCTACATACAAGATTATTTACAGATGAAAAGTTATGGTGTTTTGTATTTGCTTCAAATTAATCCACTGAGGGTGAAAGAGGGAGGAAGGAAGACAAGTGAAACTCTAAGCTGATAATGTTGAGAATTCGTGATGGGTGCACAGGGGATCATTTTACTATTCTCAATTTTTTAACATGTTAGAAACATTTCTTAATAAACAGGGAGAAATAAAAAGACACATCTAGACACACATGCACAGAGTATAGATTACAGTGGAGGATTTGGATCGAAGTTGGAAAGTAATGCTTATAAAGACATATGAAGACTACTGTTAGTAGAAAAAGCTGAACAAATTAAATGTATTGAAATGAAGATTTGAAATGTATAATTCAAAACTGAAGTGTAATAATGTTTAGCCTGAAAGAAAAATATTTAGCCTGAAATTGAGGATGAAAAATGGAAGAGATGAAATTACCAAGAAGTTGTAGGAGACAACACTAAACGAGCTTGTTAACAAAGTTGACTTCAACCTAGGCTAATACAAGTTTAGGGGAGGAAAAAGGAGTTTCCAGGATCTACCCTCTGGTTTTTTTTTCTTTTTTCTTTTAAAGGTTTTTAGAGTAAAAGGAATACAGTGTAAGCTGACATTTCAAGTCTTACTTATTAAACATCGTTTGACTGAAAATTATTTGTGATCTAGTTTCAATAACGCCAGCAGGTGGCGTGTTTCTTAGCTCTATTTTTTTCAAACTATGAAAAACTTGGGAACCAGTATGAATATATGAAAATAAGAAATGCTGCCTTTTCATTGTTTGTGTTCTGCTTCTCTCAGGAAAAATTGTTTATAAGAATACAAATAGAATAATCTTTGTTTTTTTATTTCTTTCCTGCCTTAGTGAGAGCTTGAATTGTGTATTATTTGCTAAACAATTCCTAATTTCACTTTTTCTGTAGCAAAATATATCTAATTAAAATCCCAAACCAGGAGGATGGGTGTAGCTCAGTGGTAGAGCACATGCCTAGCATGTACGGGGGTCCTGCGTTCAATCCCCAGCACCTCCATTAGAAAAATTAAAAAATGAAATCCAGAGCCATTGCCAGTCTTCATATTGTGAGGTGTCTCAAGATGTGATTAAGAGCCTAAACTCCAGGGAACCAGAAAGCCAGGTGCATCTTCATAGTGTGCTGCAAAACACAGTGTGTGTACATAGTGTGTTATATGGCTTGTGTGCTGGGATTTTGTGTTGCTTTCAGTGCCACTGAAAATTTGCCAGATGGGACCAAAGGTTACAACTTAACCTGCCACAGTCTCTACACCCACTCTGGTCTAGCTCCATTCAGGTTCTTCTCTCAAGGAAAGCCCTGAGTGGCCATTTTATTGATACGAAATCCCTGCAGAACACAAATCAACCTTCTGTTAGTACTCCAGACACAAGAGTGTCCTCAGAACCTTTAAAACAATCTGGAGGTCACTGAGAAGAAGCCAAGTGAAAATCCTCATTCCCTACCCCTTTGGGTTTGGGGCTGATTTTGCTCTAAATGGAGCTGAAAAATAGCCCCATGTATTTTGTTGTTTTAGCATGCTCCAAGTTGGAGGAGGGGTACACAGGTCATTTAGTTTCTGACAAAGAGATACCAAATTCCCAGTGCCCATTACCAATTCATCCAACAAAGAAACTATTCATAGTTGACTTTATTGCAAGGAAGATTTCAGACATGGTAGCTCTTGTTTCTAATTTAATCAAAATTCTATTTCCACCCCCCTCACACTGAATCCACCTCTTTTATTACTGTATCTGGAAACTTTTATCCTGTAATATCGCAGACTTTTTGGAAACAGAAGTTATTTAACCATAGAATGATTCAATAATAATAACTTCCATAAGGCTTTTCAATCAAACATGAAAGAATGTCTTTTTTTTTCTTTTATAGCTTTCTTGTTTACAATACCCACCGTGCAACTTCAGGAAATTCATAATACTATAAAAAGGAAAATAAACATTACCTATAATTCCACTGGACTTTTAAATATATGTGCATCGCATGTTTTTTAGATGGAATAGTTTGCTGAGGTTTTTTTAACATCCTCTTCACTTAATAATATATTGTGAACATCTTTGTGTACATATAATATAATTATAACCATATTACTTTCTTAGAAAATGAAGGAGGAAGTAATATTTTTAGTACCAAGCATGAATGGCTTCAGGGATTTTTTTTTAATTGAGAAATAACATTCATAAAGTGTATAAAGTTTAGTGTATATCTCAATAAAGTTTTATATATGTAAATACCATTGTCTGCTTGGGCTGCCATAACTAATAACAAAAAGATCACGATGAGTGGCTTAAACCACAGAGATTTATTTCTCACAGTTTTGGAGGTTGGAAAATCTAAGATCAAGGTTATGGCAAGGTAGATTTCATTCTGAGGCCTCTTCTCTTGGCTTATAGGTGGCTTCCGTCTTGCTGTGTACACACATGACCTCTTTGTGCTTATAGGGTGAGACGGGGTGCTGAAAGAGATCTCACAAGCTCTCTGGTCTCTTCTTAGAAGGGCACTAATCCTATTAGATTAGGGTTCCAACTTCAAGACCTCATTTAACCTTAATCACCTTAAAGGCCCTATCTCAAGTAGGGTCCCAGTAGAAGTTAGCTTCAGTGTACTGAATTTGGGAGAGATACAATTTAGTCCATAGCACTAAGGCTTATTTTTTAAGAAGAAAGCTTTATACATACTACTTAATTTATAGATCTGCATGGACATATCAAATTAAAGAATTAAAAGATTTTGTTGGATAACTTAGGAGAATGACTTACATGGGTTCTTTGGAATTTGTTCTCTACCAGAACATAAGCTCCATGAGGACAAAGAGTTTTGCTTTTTCTATTCATTGCTAAATTCTCATGTCTAGAACAATGAGTAGTATATAACTGGTGCTCAGTGTTTACTGAATGAATGACAATGTTTTCTTTCCTTTTCTCTGGAGGAGGAAGGCGGTAACAGAGCTTAGGAGCCATAGATCATTAAGACAGATTTCCTTGATTGAATCTCAACTATATCACTTACTAGTTCTTTTCTTGGACAAGTTACTTAAAACTGTGCCTTAGTTTTCTCTTC